CCCCAGGGTGCGAAGAAGAACCAGAAGTGACCGCTGCCTGCTGTGTGTTTGGTGTCCCTCTCCTCCCCTTCTGCTCCCTAGTGCCCACTGTTCTGTTCTGTTCTTCTGCAAGGTGGACAGCTGAATGACATCAGTGGCATTGATGCATCTGGGGTGAGCAACATCTGGGGGTCCCTTTTTTGGCTCTTTCTCTTCCAGGATTTTCTTTTTCCCTCTAGTAACCATGATTTTCCAGCAGCTGGTTTTTCTGGGTGTTCCATAGCTGGGACTCCTGGAGCCCCCAGGCGTGGGAGCTTCCCGTAGGCTGGAGGAGCGGAAATGTAGCCTGCACCTGCTGTCCTGTCAGTGTGGCATCCCCACCAGACATGGCTGGCCTCTGTCACCTGTGCTCTGGGTCACACGTGCCCTGTGCTCACTGTGGTCATCTGCGGGAGGTTGGTCCAAGAGGATCTCATGCTACATCACTGGGGAAAGTCAAGTTTTAGTATTTTCACATACTTTGTAAAATAAGCACTTTGTTTTAAGGATATTGACAGTTCGCCGTACATGTTTGTGATACATAATGCCATCAGGCTGTTTGGTTTTAAAGTTTTAGTGTTTAGTACTACAGAAATTTTGTATTTTGATGTAATTCAATGGTAAGTTGGAGATTTAAAAAATTTTAGTTAAAATTTCATTCTTATTCAAGTACCCAGCAGGCATCTCCCTAGATTTTTCTTCTAGTTTTTGTTCCTTGTAATTATAGTTTTAAATTTAACTTTTTAATCCATTTGAAATTTACTTTAATATATGCCACCAAGATTTCACTTAAGCTTTTTTTCCCAAAGAGCAAGGCAATTTCCTAAGCACAATGTAATGAAGCTGATTCTATTTTTAAGAGTAACCAGTCTTCCTAACACAGAAAATTAATTTACAACTTGCTGAAATTTCAGATGAAAACACATAATAATGACAAGCTCTATCCAAGTTTGGGGAGAAAAACTGGCATAAGAAAATGAAAAAAAATTTTGAATGTGAGCAGCTGTACATCAAACTCAGGGTACTGTCACCTTGTGTGCGTGTTGCCGTGTGTGCTTAGCAGCACCCACAAACCCGACTGTCTTTCTCACAACCAGGTACACAGGGCTAATAACAGAAGTAGAAATGGTACTCACTTATCAAGTATTATCTGCTGTAGTCATAATTACAGCACAAGTGCTATGGAAGTGCTACTTGCTACAGTATTATCAATACGCGTAGCAGTTATGTTATGATGGATGCTATCATGGAAGGGCGGTGCTCTAAGCATCCGAAGGGGAAATAGTGCTGATCTGGAAATCAAGGAAGTCTTCCTTGGGGAAGTAATGACTGAGCTGAGACCTGAAACAGGCATAGAACTACTCCACAATATAAGAGTGGAGAAACGTGGCAGTCAGCAGAGGAAGCAGCGGGGGTAAAGGATCCAAGCAGGAAGCACAGAGCCCTTCGAGGACCTTGCAAGGGCAGCCTGGTGACACCCTGCTGGGTGGGGTGGAGGTGTGGGTAGGGCTGGCCATGCAGGCTGGGAGTTACTGGATAGAAGTTTTTATTCTAAGAGCAAAGGGGAAGCATGGAAGTATTTTAAGCAAGAGAGCGGTCCGATCAGATTTGCATTTCAAGACCTGGCCGGTGGGTGTGCAGAAGTATATTGGAGGAAGGTAAGACAGATACAAAGAGATTATCACAATAATCCAAGTGAAAGAAGATGAGAACTTGGTCCTCTCTGAGGGGATTTAAGGAGGGAGAATGGATGGACAGATGGACAGATGGATGGATGAATGGGTGGGTGGATGGGTGGATAAATGGATGGATGGGTGGATGGATGGATGCATGTACAACCTGAGCTGAACAGACCAGACTCAAGCTAGCTGTTTAATTTTGGTTCTCCCTATCCCTTTAAATTTGTTCCAGTGGTGAGTTCTTTTCTTAAAATCTAATTAAATTTATTGGTATGATTTAGGTGTATACAATGATTCACATTCATCATACAGAATTTGTACCTGTACATGATATACCTTGGTTAGTCTTTTTTCCCCTCTCCCATTCCCTTCCCCCCGTTCAGCCCCCCACCCTCCTTATTTTGTCCCTGAGGAAAACCTGAGCTGACTTTGGCTTTTCAGGGCAGTCCTGGGTCTCACAGCGCCTCTGGTTAGCTGTGCTGTAGTTCATCTCACATAGGAGTCAAACCTGTACAATGTGGCTTGTGTTCCTCGCCCCAATAGGGCCTGGAGCAGGCAAACATAAGGGAGCCCGATGCTGTGTCTCTCTGTCCACTTTGCAGACTTTTCTGACTCCTTCTGAGCTGTATCCTCAGGGCCTAACAAGGCGTTTCCTCCCATGGGTCTCTCTGTTGCCTTTGAGTAGCTTGCCGGACAAAGGTAAACGCACCTCCTTCCCAGCCGAGTGCTTTTCCCTTCTCAGCCCTTGGGAATCTGGGGCTGGAGGAGAGCCTTCTCCATCAAGGTCTGTTCCTACCTCCTGGTGGTGGCCTTCGGTGGGAGCTGAGATGTCCACATGGGTCTCTGTGTGCACACGCTGTCGCTCTGACCCAGGCATGACCTCAGGAATTATTTTCCAGTGACCCTGATCATCTGCAAGCCAAGCAGAGGCCCACCCTTACTTCCCTTCCCACATTGTGGGCCAGCTCACCTCTCACGTGCTATATTTCTGGTGGGAGCCCGGCACCAGGCACTCCCAGTTGCAGGGGACCCCTGTCACGCTTCTCCGTGGGACTGTTACTGAACAGAAGGCTCCATCTACTTGCCTTGTGGTGGAAGCCAGGGTAGGTGCTGTAAATAAAACCACGAAGCACTTTATTGCATCTGTAGGTGGTAGAGAGTCTCATCCTCACGGGCCATCTTTTCAGGAAGCTGACTTAGGAGCAGTTTATACACGAGGTGGAGGATTGCGGATGGGTGGCTTCTCATGGGTAGAGCTTCCTGGCCAAGTGACACATCCATGGTTTGCTGCATGCACAGTGGACTGGTTCGAGGGGCAGCTATCCTGAGGCCCTTTTGCTGACCATCAAATTCACAGTACTGAAAGAAAACAAACTTTACCTATTAGTGTGGAGGACGGGGTGAGGTGGGGCTAGACAAGAAAGCCACCCTACATCCGGTGTGGGTGCCGGCCCGCAGAACCACCGCTGCCCTACTGGAAACAGTGAGGGCTGGGCATCCTTCACCCATTATGGTTTAGACCCAGAACAACAGTGGCGAACCTATGGCACACATGCCACAAGGGGTTGTTTGTATCATTGAAAGCTCTACAAGATTTGCCATCATTGACTGGAATGTCCCCCAGAGCCTCATGTGTGCAGGGGTAGGGCTTTTGGAAGATGATTGGTTCGTGGGGTGCGATACTCATCCACTGATGAATCCACCCCTGAGTGTGCTGCTAGGAGGTGAGGTCCGGTAGAAAGAGAAGTGGGCTGCCTGGGGCATGACCTGGAATATCTCCCTTCATGGATCTTGGCTTCTTTTTCATCATGCTGGCCACCATGACGTGAGCAGCTTTCTCCCACCAGCCCCTTCCACCATGCGCTTCCTGCCTTAGAGCCAGGCGACCATGGACTGAACCCTTTAAAAACCATAAGCCAAAATGAACCTCTCCTCCTTCACACTGCAGATATGAGGTGTCCTGTTCCAGCAACGGGAAAGTGATCAATACAACCCTCAGCTCCCCTCTTTTTCTCTGCACCTTTTAGTGCCCTGACTGTAGATGAAGAGTTTAAGTTTGTTCACCCAGTTCTCACCCAACACAACTCTCTAACAGTCAGTGCTGGGCAGCCTGTCTTGTCCCCACTTCTGCATCTCCTGTCTGTTATCTAGCAATTTTACATGAGACTGTTTTCTGCCATTCTGTCATGGATGGGCACTGATGCTTAGTGTGCGGGTGACATACACAGGAGGGTGGGTGTGTGATCCAACACTTGCTGCTGTTGAGGCTTTTGATCCCTTAGCTCTGATTCTTGTAAGAACCCTCCCAGTGGATGCGACCACTCACTCTCTTTTGCAGGTAAGAATAGAGATGCATAAGAGGAAGCAGTTTGTCTGAGTCACATCAGTAGGAATGAAGGAGCAGGGATTTGCACTCTGGCCTTTCTGAACCCCAAACCAAGGCTCACCCCAAAGTTATTACTGGTGGCATCTTATTAACACCCAGTTGACTGGGCCCTGAGTGATGGGACAATATTCAGCTTGGAAATTTGTTTTCGAACAATTGCCTTACCAAGACACAAGCCTAGTGGCTTAGACCAATGCAAACTTCTTATACTAACATTTGGCCAGTAAGAATCCCATCCTCAGACTCTCAGGGTAAAATCCAGGCATCAGCAGGCCCATCAGAGAGGTGGGCAGGTTTACTTTGTGCCTTTCTCAGTTTCTATAGGCCACTTGCTCTCCTTGGCTCACAGCCCCTTCCAACATCTTCAAAGCTACCATAGTCACATCTTTTTCTGGCTGCTGCTTTCTCCATTTCTAAGAACTCATGTGACTAGGGTGTGCCCACCCTAATAAGCCAGGATACTCTTTCATTTCAAGGTGCATTTTTAAGCTCATTGACAAAGTCCCCTTTGCTGGGTAAGGAAATGTAAGGTAAGGTAAGGTACCTGCAGATCCCCAAGGATTGGGACCTGGATGCCTTGAATACCATTATCCTGCTGACCACAATAGCTGAACTCTTCATATAGTGAATGTGAAAAATATTCTTCTGTGGACATTAGAACTTTAACCAAATCCCTCTTTTTTTCCTTCAATCTGTGCTACCACTAACACAATGCAGAGACATGAGGATGGGTAATCAGTTTGATTTTTCATTTCTTTTTAAAAATCAGTTTGTAGTGCCATTTTACTAAATGCTTTGGTTTCCCTTAGGTTTGGAACTTCATCTACATTCATTCCACTTTCAATTCAGTATTAAGCATCTAATCCATGTGGTATTATAGAAAAGATATTTACAATAATTTTTTTCTTTTAATACAGATTTGGATTTAAAACCACCAGTAGAATCAATTGGAAGCAATTTTTAACATCATTTTATGAGCTTCAGAGATCGGAAGTTAATAACATAGTTCCCCCCCTAAAAAGAGATTGGTATGTATAAAGCCAACTAAGTTTCAGTTGTACAAATCATAATATGTAAAATATTTGAAAATACCCGAGTTACTTTTTCTTCATTTACTGAGTGACCAATTAAACTCCATCAAATAATCGCCAGCTTTTATATAATGATTTACAGCTCATAGATATTTTTCATATTTAAATTTGCCTTAAAACGTGTTTGGTATAGTTATTGTTCCATTTCCTAGGTGAGGAAAACAAGACTATATGCTATCTTAAGTGGGTCACATGCTGTGAGCTCGGCGAGGGGCCTGGAGGTCCTCCCCATACACGCGCTTGCAGCTCACATCGTCCCCCTCTTCTGAGTGTGTTCGGCGGGGTCATGTAGTAACATGTACTCGCCACCTGTTGCCCGGAAAGGAGCCCCCTCTGTCACTGTCGGGGGTTGAGGGGGCTCTGGGCCTGGAGCATCACTCCCAATGCCTGGTATGACTTGCAATTGTAATTTCATGGAAGTTGTGATGGGGCCCTAAGAATATTTTTTAAAGTACTTAAAAATCTCACAGTTTAGAATTTAGCCTTCTGCTCTAAGTCGTCTTTTGTTTATACTGATGTACACTCTGTATGGAGTGTCCTACATGGATCTTAAAGAAACTAAAACAGGCTTTATAATCTGAGCACGTACATTGAGGGTGCTGTGCTCTGTTGTAAGGTAAAAGGCACCTCAGAGTTACTTCCCACCTGACTGGGGCCCATCCCTGTCTCAGGACTTACGGAGATTTACTGACTTCCCTGCCTGAGAGTCCTCCCTCCTTGCTACAAGTTCCTGTTTTAAAGGAAGTCACTCGGTTGCTTTATAATTTTGGTCTGATTGCACCTTGTCAGAGTTAAAATTGAAGCTTTATTTACTCTAAAACAGCGGGTTCTCCATCAGAGGCAGTCTCGCCTCTCAGGTGACAGTTGGCAGTGTCACAAAACAGACCAGATTGTCACAATCAGGGGTGGAGATACCTTCTGCTATCTAGTGGGTAGAGGCCAGGGACGCTGCGCAGTGTCCTGCTCTGAGTGTCCCAGGACAAAGAACTGCTGGCCTCCACGTCGGCAGTCCTGTCCAGAAGACTTGTTCGTGCCAGTGCGGGTGATGTTTAGGAAAACTAGGTTCCAATGACATTCAGCATGTTTCTGCAAAGCCGCCGAAGGTGTGTGTTGTACACTTTGCACAACCGGAAAAAACTGAGATGGCTGCCTAGACATGGCCAAACTCCCGAACAAAATGGGAATGCTCCCGTGGGTAAAGCCGTCCCCTGTCCCTTGTCACCTTGTGGGAAAGGTAGAGGTGTCTCCATGACCTTAGCGAAGGAGGGCAGCGAACTCGTCAGAGTGTGTATTGAAGTTGGTTTTGATCTCCGGGGTGGGAGCGCGTGGCCTCCGGGAGTACACGTGTGGACGGCGGAGCCTGAGCTCGGCTGTGCTGGTCATCATGGGGGGCGGGTGGCACAGCTAGCTGGCACCTGTGAGACTCCCACCCTATTGGATGCCACACCCACCAGGTGATGAAAAGAACAGGTCCACATGGTGCGATATGCTGTCAGGATGGCGCCACTCACGGAGAAACTGCCATTACAGTTGTGTGGTTCCTGTGATTTGTGTAAGGAAAAGACAGGGTTGAAGAGTATAATCTTACTCCTGTGTTTCCCCTATTTTGCAGCATCAATGCTGGAAATCAGTCTGGGAAGGAAAGCGCTGTCACAAAGGTGCTCAGACACGCCGAGTACAGCTGCGGGGCTCTGAAGAAGGCCTTACTGATGACCGGCGCCTCTGTAAGCTTCTGACTCTTTCTCTTTTGAGACACTTTCAGTTTCTGAGAAAGCTGACACTCAGTGCGGCCAGTGAAAACTACCTCCGCTCACTTAGTCACCCAACAGACATTTTCTGAGCCCCTGTTGTAGGCTGAGAATTGTTCTGGGTGTTCGGGGTTATCAGGCCTGACCCCTGAGGTTGCGTCAGGTGGAGAGGAAGGAGAGAGAGAGCATAAAATCAGCTGCAGGACAGTGAGATAAATGCTTATCGCAACACGGTCTGTGTGCCCGAGACTGTTAGGAACAGGTGGCTGGTCAACGCAGTTAGTTAACAAATAGTCCGGCCTCGCTGAGCCTTCCCGACCCTAACTGAGAGTTTGTCGGTTCGTAACCAACTTGTCGTCCCCACGAGAACGTTTTTTAGCTCCAAAACAGCCATTGAATGTTTTAATTGTACAGCACAAGGAGGTTAATTGAGGAATTTGCAACTTGCTCCTCTTGCTTTCAACATTGGTTTGCTCTAATGTTTGTTTGTTTTGTACCAGGAATCGAACTCAGGACCTTGGCTTGCCAGGCAGGCACTTGTGCTGCTGAGGTATCTCCCTAGCTGTGTATTTTAGAAAGCAGCAGTTGGGTACTCTTGAAGCATAGAGACAGCTCCCAAGTCTATTTACTGAGCACATTCTGCAACCAGATCTCTAGTAAATAACGAGGAGTAGAAATTTGTTGTCCTTCGACTCACGTAGGACCGCGTAAAAAGCTGTCCTTCAGCAGAGGCGCCCCAGAGCTCAGCGTCGGCTTCCCAGGTTGCTGACCAAGCGGAAGTCTGTGAGCCTCAGGGGCAGCCCGCTGCCAGCAAGTGGCCTAAAGACTTGGGTGTGCCTGGTGTGCTGGGGACCCAGCGTCTGCTTCCGTCAGCGTGGACGACCATCACTCGGGTGTCCAAGCACAGGGTGGAAGCAGAGATGTGGGTTGCCATGTTCCCGGGGGGTCGTTCCTGCTGTAATGATGGCTGTCCCCTCTCACCCACGCAGGGTCTCTTCCAGGACCCCGCCATGGGTGCCTTCAATTGCAGATAGTACGGAGCCCCGTGTAGTTATGCGACGAGCATTTATCTCACTGTCCTGTGCTGCTTAACGATGGTCACATGTTCACAGAAATGCATCACCGAGTGACTCCCTCGCTTCGGGAACGTGATGGAGTGTACTTGTGCACTTGCACACCTCTGGAGGGTGCAGCCTGTGACACACCTAGGCCACATGGTATATACTGTGTGCATGTGGTCTGTCATTGACCAAAATTTTGTGGCAAACGACTGTATATACCGGCTTTTCCCCTCCACACATCCCTATGGTGATGTGTAATTTATAAATTGGACACAGTAAAAAATTAGCAGTAGCTAGTAGTAAAGTAGAATAGTTATAAAATCAAACTGTAATAAAATTGATGCGAATGTGATCCTCCCCAGCATTTTATCACGTTGTGTCGTGCTGGCTGCAGTGAACTGAGGGTATCAGACCACACAGGGCAAAGGTGGGTGGAAGGAGGGACAGTCTGTAGGCTGGCGGGAGTCACCCCACAGCCTCTCTGTTGCTAGCAGTACACACTCACCTAATCCGTCACCTCCTCTGCCAGGGAGGTGTTGTTCTCTCCATCTGACAGAGGCGGGAAGGGAGCAGGGGTTGAATGTCCAGCCTGAGCCCCCTCCAGGGGACCTGGGTTTCTGGCCAGGCCCCGGGCTCTACACAGGCCCAATCCAGTGCAGGGCGCAGCTGCCAGGAATGTTGGATGAGCCACCTGGACAAAGATGTATGAAAGCTTTGGGGGAGTTTCCCAACCTTGGTTCAGTTAATGAATGGAAGCATTAATTTAATTAAAAATAGTGTAATTTTCATTTCTGCTAATGGAAGACTGTAATAATGCTAAGCTCTCCAAGTACTGGACTGCATAAAAGTCATTGCTGCACTGTTCAACTGGAGTCCAACACACATGCATACACACACACACACACACACACTCACACACTCACACACTCACACAGTGCAGGCTAGGAATTAAGTGTCTGACCCACTCTGGGCCCTGCTCTGAGCACTTAAGCTGTGCACATAGACAGACGACACAAAGCCACCACCGGCCATGAGCTCACCCTCTGGAGCACAGCTGAGAGCAGTGACCATCAAGTGCCCTAAAGTGCCGTAGTGCATGGTTTCTGGAGCCACGCCCCACTGTCACCATCATTCGCCTCAGCCTTGGCCACTTCCGGGTCCTGGAGAGGGCTGGATAGGGTGGCATGAAAGGAGGGGGGGCCCAGCAGGAGGCAGGGCCCAGGTCTGCCTGGCTGGAAAGTGCAGCCCTGGGAAGCAGGTCCCCCTCCTGCTAGACAGAGGACTGTGTAGAAGAAAGGCCACTTCAGATCGCCCCGAGTTGTGTCTGTGCTGTCTTTCAGTGCTGTCACCATTTCCCCAGGTGGCCCTGTCACCGTGATCACGAACTCTAAATCTGCTGTGGCTGTTCACGTATCTTATTCTTGGCATTATGATTTGCAGATGACATGATTTTATTAATAGAAAGCCTTTCCCCCCCATGTTGAATTAATATTAGCGTTTTGAAGGTCATCAGATACAAGGTCAATATGCAAGAACCAATATTTTTGTAAACTTGGCAATAAATTAAAAAAGAACTTTTATAATATCATTGCTAATAAAATGTTTAACAATAAAATAAGTCTCTACACTGAAGATTGCAAAGATTGTTTATAGAAATGATACCAATACTTCACAAATGTTCAGAAAATATAAAAAAAAGGAACATGTCCCACTTCATTCTAGGAAACCAGTGTTTCCCCAATACAAATTCAGGCAAAGGAATCAAAAAAACCACCACAGATCCATATCCTTCATGACTGTAGATCCAAAAACTCTCATCAAAATATTACTACTGAACTAAACCCAGGGACATATAACAAGGATTAGGTGCTATAAACACACGAATTTACCTCTGGATTGTTTACCTCTGGCTGATTTAACTCCCCACAATCAATTAATGTAATACATAATATTAATAGAATTAAGGACAAAACTACATGATCATGTCAGTAGATGAAGAAAAAGTATTTGAAAAATACTCATACCTCAATACCCATTCATGATAATAACTCCCAGCAAACTGGAAGTAGAAGAGAAATTTCTTAACCTGACAGGGGATATTTATGGCAAACCCATAGCTAACAGCATATCAGTGGTAAAAGACCATTTCCCCCCTAAGGTTAGGAAGAACACAAGAATGTCTGCTCTTGCTCTTTCTCTTCAGCAATGCGCTGGTGTTCTAGACAGTCCAGTTAGAAAACAAAAAAGGAAATAAAAGGCATTCAGTTTGTAAAGGAAGAGGCAAAACCATATTTATTAAAGGACAACATGATCTTATGCTTAGAAAATTCTAAAAAAGCACTCCCCCACACACACCTAGAACTAATAGAGTTGCAGGATATAAGGCCAATCAATATGCGAAAATTAGATAGATTTCTATAAACTAGCAATGAAACAATCACAAAACGAACTTCCAGAAAGCAGTTCCCTTCACAGCAACATCAAATAAGAATCAAATGCTTAGGAACAAATTCAGCAAAAGAAGTGCCAAATGAAAACTACAGGAGTTTTTAAAGAAATTAAAAGCGATATAAGTAAAAGACATTCCATATTCATGGATTAGAACACAGCGTTAGTAAGATGGAAGTTCTCGCCAAATCTATGTATTTAACGCAAATGCTATCAAAACTTCAAGTAGCTTTTTTTTTTTTTGCAATTGAAAAAAATGATCTTAAAATTTGTATGGAAATAGAAAGGTCACAGAATAGCCAAAATAATCTTAGAAGGGAGAATAAAGTTAGAGCACTTAAACTTTGATTTTGAATCTTAGTATAAACTGTAGTAATAAAGATTATTTGCTACTGACATAAGGATAGACAAATGGATCAATGAAACAAAATTCAGAATCCAGTAAATAAACCTTTACACTTATAATCAGTTCATTCTTGACAAATCTAACGAGGAAAGGATAATCTTTTTAAAAATGGTGCTGAGAAAATTGAATATTCATATGCCAAAATATAACTCTTACTTTTGCCCTACTGCAAACAGACATTGATGTAAAAGCTAAAATGATAAAACTCTTAGAAGAAAAGCATGTATATGAATCTTGACGATTTTGTGTTAGGCGCATTTCTTAGAGACAACATTAAAAGCATGGATCATAAAAGAGAAAAACATGTTGGACTGTATCAGAATTTTAAAATTTTGCGTTACAAGATACCATCAGTAAAGAGGAATTAAAAGTGAAAAGACAAGCAGATTGGGAGTAATAGGTACAAATCATGTCTCCTCTAAAGGACTGGTGTGCCCAGAATTATAAGAATTATTAGAACTCAGTAAGAAAATGGCCCAATTTTTAAAGTGAGCAAGAGATTTTCATAGGCATCTTCCCAAGGAAGATATATAAATAGAGCCAATATGTACGTGAAAAGATGCTCAGCATCGTTAGTTACTAGAGAAATGCTGATCAAAACCACGAGATGCCATTTCTCTCCCATCTGAACAGCTATAGCTAAAAAGACAGACAATAGTAGGAGTTGCCAACGGTGTGGAGATACTGGAACTCCCCTGCACTGCTGGTAGGCATGGAAAACAGGAGAGCCACTGTGAAAAACAGTGTAGCAGCTTTTTACAAAATTAAACGTAACTAAGCACGTGACCCAGCAATTCCATGCCTAGGTGTGTCAGTCCAAGAGAAAAACAAGTCCACACAAAGACATGAGTGCCAATGCTCACAGCAGTGTTACGCATAATTTCCAAGTTGAAGTGACCCAAATGTTTATCAACTTGCGGGTGGGTAAACAGAACGTGACCTGCTCACTCAGTGTAATACTAATAAGCCATAAAAGGAACAGAACGCTGATCTATGCCAGCACCTCAGAAAAACCATGCTAAATGAAAAGGGCCAGACGCAGGACACCGTCTGTTTATCATATAATTCTGCTCCTGTGGAATCTCCAGGGAAAAGGCAACTCCACAGAGAGAGAAAGTGAGGTCGTTGCCTTAGGTTGAGGATGGAAACGGGGAGTGGAATGAAATATGCATGAGGATTCTTTGTGGACAGTAACCAAAATATTCTAGTGTTAGTGGTGATGGCTACACAATGCTGTACATTCATCAAAAATCATTTTAAAATGGTCAGTGATTCTTATTTGGACATTAAAAAATGGATTTTCACCCCCAAACCCCAAAGTAAGTATGCATATATCCCCTGAATTATTTTATCCCAGAGAACTTTATTCATTTTCCGTATTTTGGGCCAAGTAGCAGTTGATATTTGTACACTATTTTTACCACTTTATAAACCCTTTTTTGCATTAATATTTACAATATCTCTCTATGAGGTGGGGACTCTTTTATCTTTCCTGTCTTTCCAGTAAACAAGGGTCCGCAATTTTCATATTTAATTTTCTTATTGACAATTTTTCATTCTGGGGGAAGAAATCTGCCTCAGAGTATTTTGCTCATAATATGCAGTCTCTACCCAGCATGGCTGACGTTTTTCTCGCTAAGTAATTGTCCATTTATGTAATGGAGGAGGTGGTGGTACTGAAAACAAGTGTAATTAATTAATATCCTTAGTAAATTGGCAAGTTGCGATAGACCTGCCGGGAAGTTCGAGCTCCCCGGGTGGGGCTGGGGGAAGGAGGGTGCTCAGGCTGTGGGACACCTAGGGCAGGTGTCAGCCTCTGCCCCAGAACTGGCCTCCCTCCTCCCTGGGCGCCACCTCCTGCCAGTCCTGATGGGGCATCTTAGGAAGTGTGCTTGGAGTCCACACCGCACTCTGGGCACATACGTGACATGACGGTCATCAATTGTGACACGCTTGTTCCAAATCATAATCCTTTGTGGCCGAAGCTCTCTCTTTACTCAGTGATGCTAAATATATATAACTCTTTTTCTTCCTTTTAAAAAATTTCCTTGTATCCCCTCTCATACTCAGAAACCCAACGGAGAGATAACAGGGGAAGAATTGAGACAGATTCTAAGTTCCACGGTTGTAAAATTAAGTGACTCAGAATTCAAAGAGCTCATGAAAACGCTAGACTCCAGGGGCACTGGAATGGTCGCAGTCAGCTCCTTCTTTGACCTGCTTGAAGGGGACCCTAAGGTACGTTCCACCACATCTGGTGTTCTCTTTGTGGCAGGCAACCTCAGCACTCTTAGTAAAGTAAAAGAGGCAGGTGAAATACGGTTTAGCTTAAATTAATGGCTTCAGGTTTTCAACAGAATTTCCCTTTTAAGCAAGAGTTAAGTGACTGAGTTATTTAATTTTGACTTTTTAATTCTGCATCTTATTGAAGGATTATATTTGATATTTCTGGAAACCTATCCTTAAGCGACAGCCCTTGGTGGACAGGATGTAACTTCTTACAGCCCTGCGATGGCACTGTCTTGCTAAGGAGTGCCTGGAAAGATGTTACGTCCCATGTTGATTCCCCAGCTTGAAAAATAACTGCTTATTAATTGTAATGTATCAAAAACACACACAATAAAAAATAACTGCTGATTGTCTCTAGTGACCAAAGTTTGATTTTATTATTTGCTTCTTTTGAGTAAAAATTGACAGTTTTATTATTAGAAATGTGTCTTATTATTAGCACTTAAAAATTTAAAGAATTTTTTAAAAGGTTAAAAATGTTTTATGATTATATAAATAATAGACAGCCATTGTAGAATATTTAGAAAATATCCAAATCTACCAAGTTGAAAATAATGATAAAAACCCCAAATTCCAATGCCCACAGATACCCACAATTGAAATTTGGACGAACTTTTTTCTGCTCTGTGTGTGCACATATTTATTTATTTACTATTTGTTTATTTTAAAATTTATTTTAAAGATAATTTTAAAAAACAGTAAAAATGATACAGAGTTTCAAAACAAAATGATAGAAAATTAACAATGGCTGTTATATTGCATATTGTTATCTTCAAACTAGTTGCTCAGATTATCAGATATAGGCATGCAAAGTTGATCAAACAATTAAGCATTAACTATTCCTTTCAATAAACCAATAGATATTAGTAGTACAATTATCTTAGCTATGATATATATATATATATTTTTTTTCCCTTCCTTATTTTCTCCTTTCCCCTACCCCTTGTTCTCTCCTTTTGAGCAGTTTCTTTCCCTTTCACAATATCTATTATACATTAAACTGTGGTTGAACGCATGACATTATTTCTTCCTAGTATATGTTTGTGATACATGGTAATTACACTCACCCTGGGGAACTGGTACACATAGATATCTGACCTTGATTGTTTCTACTCCCTTTTTCCCTTTCTCTGTTTTCCTTCCTTCCCCATATCTTCCCAGCTCCACAGAGTCTACCTCTTATTCCCTGCCATCTCTCTTTTGTATTGCTCTTTAAATTATTTATATTTTGGGTTCTTCATGTTAGAGGAAACCATGTGATATGTAATCTCCTGTGATTGATTTATTTCACTTACCATTATGGTTTCAAGGTGCACTGATTTTCCTACAAACCAAATTTGTCCTTCTTTATGGCTGAGTAGTACTTTGTTGTATAAATATACCACATTTATTTATTTATTTATTTATTTGTCTTTTTGAGACAGGGTCTCGCTATGCAGTTGAGGTTGGCCTTGAGCTCACCAGGCTGGTCTTGAACTTGCAACAATCCTCCTGCCTCAGCCTCCCAAGTGCTGGGATTATAGGTGTGCACCACCACACCCTGTACCACATTTATTTTCCTTATGCATTCATCTGTCTATAGGCTGTTGCTCTGATTTTGCTATTGTGAATTATGCTCCTATTACTATAATCTAATGGCTTTAACTCTTCTAGGAGGATATCCAGAAGAAGTATAATTAAGTCAAATGGAATTTCTTAGTTTTTTGAGAATTCCATATTGATTTCCACAGTGGTTATATGAGTTTACATTCCCACCAGCATTGTAGAAGGGTTCCTTTTCCCCCACAATTCACTAGCACTTTTTTTTTTTTTGAGTCCTTTATAATAGCCATTCTTACTGGAATAAGATGGAATCTCAGTATTGTTTTGATTTGCTTTATTATAATGGTCAAAGATATTGAACATTATTTTCATGTATTTATTGACCACTTGGACTTCTTTTGAGAGGTGTCTATTCATTTCAATTGCCTATTTTTTGATTGGTTCTTCTGTTTTGGAGTCTAATTTCTTTTGAGTTGAGTTCTTTATATATTCTAGTTATTAGCCCTTTGTTGGAGGAGTAGCTGGCAAAAATTTTTCCATTATTCCTGATCAAAATACCACTGGCATACCTCACAGAACTAGAGAAAATACTGCTAAAGTCCATCTGGAGCCAAAAGAGACCTAGAATAGCAAAGGCAATCCTGGGCAACAAAGACAAGTCAGGAGGCAGAACAATCCCTGACTTGAAATTATACTACAAAGCTACTGTGATAAAATCAGCATGGTACTGGCAAAAAAATAGACCTGAGGACCAGTGGAACAGATTGC